GGGAAAAAATCGCATGAAAAATAGATATCACGTACAACCAATTATAAGTTGATATTAATTACTTTGTTTAAAAAAAATGCAGTTCTTCATTGGATTCATTTTCTCACAAATTTTTATCATTTTTATACTCTTTTCTTTAAACATTGATTGAGTTTATTAATTTTTCATTGGGCAATCTAATGAAATAAGTTTCACTTCTTAAATCAATTAATAAGAGATTTAAAATTATGTCTCGAAATTAAAGATATTCAAATTTTAGAAAGACTAAATCAACCCAAATTTAAAAAGATAAATAATTAAAATAAATATTTTAAAAATTAAAAAAACCAAAATAAATCTTAAAAATAAAATAAAAGATTAAAAGTATAACTTAACCTATATATTATTTTGTAAAGATATCACTCTCTACAACTAATATTGCATCACAATTTCAAATAGTAGACATTACATGTATTCATTAAGATTGACTTGATTGATGTAGTTTCTCCTTAAAGTTTTTTGGACGGATCTTTAACATTTTAAACTCCTTTGAACTCTTTCAATGACTTCCAATGATGTTAGAAGTCATTTCTAATACATAAGAAAATGTAGGATTTCTCTTAGGTGATATCATATTCTTGAAAAGTGATAAGTCTTTTCAAATTCTCATCACACTCAGAAAAAGATAAGAGAAAATGAAGAAATTCAAAGAGAAAAACAAATCCTAATGAAGAATTTGGAGACAAATTAATTCGTCCAAATCATGTATATTACTCAAAATCATGTATATTAAACATACATTAAGAAATTAAGCTAATTTTATGCAACAATAAATAAAATAAATATTTATTATTAGATCTTCCAATTAATTAATGGTTAAATAAGAAATGATAGTAACAATTTTTAATATATTATTTCAAACACTTATTATTATTGTCTTAAATTTACTTGGAATCACAATTTTGTAGATCTCAATTTTTTTAAATTAGTTAGTTAGCCTGTACATATAAGAGTGAGTTAAATATTAAATTTTGCCTGAAACGCTGAAAGAAACCTAAATTTGTATTTAATGGAGTCGAAGTCTAGTGTTAACTTAAAAATCCATAGGAGAATGGTAAGGGTTAATGAGAAAAGGATTGCTACCTGCATGCAGGCTATGATGGACCGATCCTTAATTGGATCATGCTAATAAGACCTGACCAGAGATTTGTGTTTCATTTTCTTTTGGTTAAATACCTCTTTTGGTTCCTTACAATTATTTTTTGTTTTAATTTAGTCTCACTTTAATTTTTTGTCTCAATTTGGTCCCCAATAACTTAAATTAGTGCAATTTGGGACTTCTGTCCAAATGATTTAGACGGAGTTAACTGTTGGCCACGTGGCATCTACGTGGATGCCATGTGGACGCCAAAATTTCGGAAAAAAACTGAAACTAGAATGACCCGTTCTGAAACCAGAACGGGCCGTTCTGATTTTAGAACGGGCCATTCTGAATTTAGAACGTCGTTCCAGAACGCCATGCTTTTTATTATATTTTTTGTTATAACTATATTAATAAATATATAATAAATAAAATACAATAAATTAATATTTATTTATGAATAAAACTAAAAAAAAAATCAAATAAGATAAGACCTTCCAAAATATTTCTTTGATTTGAATTTATCCGGTTTAAAATCTTGACTAAAATGCCGCAATGTATTTCAAAAATTGAAAATAAAATTCAAGGTTTAGGGGTACCTCCTCAAGAACAAGTTGTTATTGTTGGGGTACATCGTCAATGACTTCAAGGAAAAACACTATTTCGTTTTATCCTTGACTGTATAGTGTCAATTTGGTAGTAAGTGGTTCACTCCAGTTTAATTAACAATGAAATAAAACTTGTTACCATTGTCCTTAGTGATACACTGCATCATCCTTAATGATATACTGTATAGCCCAAATGTTTAGCAATTGAAGTTATTAATCCTCATTAACAATATTACCAAATCTAGTGTTTGAAATGCTTTGTATTTTA